AGATATTTATTTATTTTTATATTTATGTGTTCATCGGCTAACTTGGGATCAGCAGTAGTATACAAGTGCAAGACGCAAGGGGATACTGAGTGTGAAAGAATATGTGACAAAAAAGAAAAAAAAAACTATTTAGGGAAGAGAAGAATAAAAGAAGAAGAATCAAGAAGACAGAAGATAACGATTGTCATTGCATTTAATCTTCTAACGATCAATTTTGACAGGAAATCAAGAGGCTGGAAGAGAGTTCCGTATACGATTTCACAAGTGCGATTGAAGAAACTGTTAGCATACAACTTACGGTAATAACTAGCAATTTCAACTGTAAAATTATGAGACCTTGCCGCCAATCTCGTATTGTTTTTAAATTTATAAACTGTAGGCACCAAAGAGAAAAGAACATGAAAGCAATTACCATGAAAATATTTATACAAAAGACGCAGTGAAGTTACGTTACGCCAGTAGGAAAGTGACTGAAGCCGAGATGCCAGATCAGGATCGATAACATTGCATTTTCTTCTTTGGATATTATTAAGTCATTATTTTATTATTAAGGAGTCACGGTGGAATAATGGATGGCGACTCGGATTGAGGAATCGGAGAGCCGAGTTCGAATTCCATTCGAATCCATTACATTCACTTACGTGCTAATGTCCTTGAGAAAGGTATGAATCCTCTTCTTCTTCACCCAGCTATGGGTAAATAGCAGGACAAACCGGATTCTATAGCCTTGGATGGTAACTGGTTTACCGCAGAAAGAAATGGCAACCTATTACGGGAAAAATGTGCCTCGTCAGTCATGTACTGGAAGATCGTCTACGCGTGTATCACGCATGACACATAACTGATTTTATTATTATCGTATCATGGCTATTGACACAACCCTGTCTTTATGGCATAGGATTTTCAAATGGTCTAAATAAAACTTCGCATTGATGCTGAGATATCAGACGGTATAAAACAAATATATTTTTATGGGAAAGTGACTGAATCCGATAGGCCAGATCAGGACTGATAACATTGCATATTCTTTTTTTTTATGGATATTATTAAATCATTATTTTATTATTATTGTGTCATGGTTATTGACACACACTGATCTTGATGTCGTCGTAGTCTGAAATTGTCAAAATATAACTTCTTATTGATGCAAAGATACCAGAATGTACAAATAAACACATCTTATGAGAGGAGGTCGAGATGCAGCGATCGAGGAAGAGAGACTCGAGGACATTGCCAGTGGAACATTAGGGACAATTAAGACAGAACTTTGACGACTATACTGGGCAGGTTCTAGCTCAATCAGAAACTTTACAAAAGTTTGAATTTCTGGGAGGAGGAGTTATCCTTATTTATATAATTTACATTCGGACTATTATCGTCATCTTTTTTTTCTTTTTATCACGTTTCGACTGTTGCGTTCTTTGGGTTTCATCAGGTGTATATCAATATTTGAATAAATATTATGTTGCCTAAACACACACACACGCATACACACACATGTATATATATTACCCCTAAACCATTGGAAGGTGAATTTAAACGAATTTATTTTTAGACAAACACGCCAGATCTCAGTTACAATAAGTTTGTATTTGTAATTTACCTCTAAACATGATCTTATAAAAGATCGAAAGTACTCGGATTAAAATTTAATCTACAGGGCCTTCCTTGATAGACTTCATCTTAACATCAAAACAACTGAAAACTGGAATGGTTCAATATAAAATGAAGTATATGTCTATATTATTCAATGAAAACATATTTGAATGAAGATATGTTGCCTAAACACACACACACACACACACACACACACACACACACACACACACACACACACACACAGAGACGCATATATTGTATTCTTGATCAATAAAATTCGTAAATAATTTTATAGGCATGTTTGACAGGCAGACTCACTCTACACATTTCTGACAATAGCTCAATTAGATCTCGTTTAAATACTCATGGAGACCTACCGGACACTATTCCTAGCATACTTGTTGACAATACTAATATAATAGCATCATCTACATGCAAAAAAAAAAAGGCTAAAAATAATGGAAGCCTTATTAATAAAAACATAAAAAACAACACTTAATAATATTAACTTTGAACATGGACACAATATCTTGACCGTGTTTTGAAAAATGAAAACATTATATAAAACATTCATACAACAAATCTATTTCTTATTGAACAGGTAAAATATTTAATCCTTGAAAATGGCTAAATGTATAGCCGGAAGTGCTCGGATAAAAAGAATATTCGGACATTTTTTATATAATTATCATCTGAAAAGAAAAAAAAATATTAGATCGCATGAGAAATTGTATAAAAAAAACTAAATAAAAGCACCTTGTCTGTCGTATTCAATGATATGTGCATGAAAGAAGGATTGCTGCCTAAACACACACACACACACACACACATATATATATATATATATTTATATTAGGTAACATATTTTTTCTTTTTCCTTTAGATGGAAACATGGGTGTAGAATAATATCGGACATAATGGAGATAATGTGAAAAGTGGAAACGGTATTCAGACAACGCATTTCACCTTATGGCAGGCGTCTTTAAGATAAAATGAGAGACATGTATGCCATTGCAAACGGCAGAAGAACAGAGTGCCATATACGAATCCAGAGAGAGGAGAAAAAAACCCCGAAAAACAAAAAAAACAAAAAACCAAACCAAAACAAAACAAAAAAGCAGGGATTTACTCGTCGTAAGCTAATTTCAAGCCCAGCAGACGTTAATAGTTTCAAATACGGGGACAAAAAAAAATTGAGTGTAACATCTGATTAGGATATTTATTTTCACTTTATCGAAATCCCAACGAATTGTTCCAGTATTTTGCAATCCAGCCCAGAGACAAGTCTTACACCTCTTTTTGCGTCTGAATTTCTAGAATGACGATTTATCCTTATTTACAAAATTTACACTCGGACTATTGTCATCATCTTTGTTGTTGTTATCACAACGTTTCGACAATTGTACTTTCCAGCCTTCATCAGAGGAGCTGGCGTATAAAGCTGGTATTCACCTATTATTCCTATTCACGGTAACGACGTAGGTGCTGCAGCACGATTGGAATCACCGTATCAGCTATCCCTCATTACCCCCCCCACCTCCAAAAAAAAAAAAAAAACACAACGCTGAACAGCAGCGAAGGACATATAATAGAATCTATCCCACCCCGAAGCCCGAGGAGGGTACATTTGGTATTTACGTAAATGTCTATGATGGCAGAATCAGTTTAACGTAGGGTGACCATACGCGTACATATCGGCCAGTGACAACATTTGCCCAGTCGCCACCGACCACTCCCATTCGCAAGCTGGTGTTGTTATCCACCAGACATTCCATTCTTGTGCAATGAGGGTGGTACTGACACAGGGTTGGAAATCTAATAACTTTTAAAAAAAAAGGGAGAAGCGATACCTCACTCTGATCCTCGACCGAACAGCGGGTAGCGTGCGCGTTTAACAGAGGCATGAACCTCCCTTTTCCTCATCACGTATGGCTTGTACCGAATGTCCTCATACACCGCATTGCGGATTGGGACAGCGGACTCACTCGTGGAGATATCATGGACATTCCGGGATTCACATCGATAATGTTCTACACCCGCTGTTCCAGGCAGCGTTATAAACAACGGAAGTGAGTGAGATTTTCCAACCAATCCGAGAGCTCCAGCTACAACAGGGATTGTTGATGTTTCCATGAACCACATTTTTTAGATTTATTATTTTATTTTGCATTAATTAAATATACCATTGTTTTAGATTGACTGATTGATATAATAATGAGCTACTGATACAAGTCGTACTTTTTAACCCATAGCTGGGAGTAGAAGAGGTGGATTCTTACATGTATGATGGATCTCATGATTTTTTCTTAATCCGACATTATTTCTTATTTCTAAACGTTATTTTTTTGTGGCTGTGGGTGTTTGATTTGACAACGTTGTTTTATTCCCTGAAACAATGAAATTAATATCAACCGGCCTAGACCGAGAAGTCCTATTAAAGAAAAATGTGCATCCGAACTGATAATGAACCTGTATTCCCCTTTTCATTTAAGTAAACCACTGTTATAGCCGATGCGTACTGTTACCAATTAGGTTACGGAAACCGTCATGATAATTGACTATTTAAGGATTGTACACCTCTCGTTGTGACTTCTTCGAATCTACATATGCTTGTTTCATTTTGATACTCAGAACGCGATCACAGAATATTTTGTGCATTGTTAAATAGGTAATTTAGCCTTGCCTTAACATGACGCTCCCCGTGATCTGATTGGTAATGCTACTCTCCGGTTATAGGTGTGGTTTTCCTAATGTAAAAAAATAAATAAATAAAAAAGAAATACAGTTTCAATCTATTCTTTTCTTCATCTCGTATGACTAGTACCGAGTGCTCTCATGACCACCAACACTGCTGATAGAGCTTTTGGAAACATGGAGACTATGGCAATGGCCCCACCATGGATGTTCCGGGATTCGCATTGGAACTTTACGCAAAAACGATCTAGTGACTTCCAAAAAGCGTACAGTCTCAACATCGCCGTGCTTTGCGTGTATCGCAACAATTACAGGGGTCGTTTCATCTCATGCCTTAGCTGATGGTCCGTCATTGATGATCTGGAAAGATAAAAGCATATTAATCGATAATCACATAACTGCAGGCACACAATCAAATGTCCTCAAATATCATACGCACCATGTATACCCCGCAGGCCAAAAGCATGAAGGAACCCTCTGTATTTTAAATAAATCGCCTAAAAATCGAAAGGGTCTTCTTCTTTTATGTGCCGTGTCCCTTCAGGACGTAGGCGATCATGGCTCTCCACTTCTCCCCTATACCATATACTTCTCAATATGTTTTGTCCTTTTGATACTTCTCCCAAACCCTGTTCTGTTAACCATTTGCTTAAGCCCGCCAGGTATGTCACGCGTTGCTTTCTTTCCCTCTACCGCCCTGTGAGTATCAGGTTCTCCATGCCCTCTTTTCTCATTACGTGTCCCAGAAACTTCAGCTGCCTCTTCCTGATGTTAAGTATAAGCTATCTCCTTGTTTGTATCCTCAACAAAACCGCATCACTTCTTCGTTCCATGGTATCCTCATCATCCTTCTGTAGAACTATACCTAATTTGCCTCGAGTCTCTTCTTCATCTTTGAGGAGATCGTCCAATATACGTTGCCGCAAAGTAGGACAGATGTCACGTAGCAGTTTAGTACTCCTTTCTTTGTTACCAAAGAAATCCTACTGTCTCGCAATGCTCTGCCCAGCTTTTGGAATGCGTCTTTGGCCATCTCTTTACGTCTTCGGATCTCAGCGTCACACTTACCGTCCTCTGTCAGAACACATTCCAGATCGTCCATTCATCCCTCATCGTTGCTCACACGCTCGGTTCATGATATCCTCATCATCCTTCTGTTGAATCATACCTCCGTCGCTTCGAGTCTCTTCTTCATCTTTGAGAAGAACGTCCAACATTCGCTGCTGTAAAGAGAACAGATATCACGTAACATCTAAGTACTCTTTTCTTTGTTACCAAAGAAATCCTGCTGTTTCTTAATACTCTTCCTAGCTTGTGGAATGCGGCTTTGGCCATCCCTATACGTCTTCGGATCTCAGAGTCTCACATACCGTCCTCTGTCAGAACACTTCCCAGATATTTAAATTTCCCATCTAAAACCTCCTCGTTGCTCACACGTTCGGTCCATGCTATCCTTAGCATCCTTCTGTTGCATCATACCTCCTTTGCCTCGAGTCTCTTCTTCATCTTTGAGGAGATCGTCCAATATACGTTGCCGTAAAGTAGGACAGATGTCACGTAGCAGTTTATTACTCCTTTCTTTGTTACCAAAGAAATCCTACTGTTCGTAATACTCTGGCTAGCTTTTGAATGCGTCTTTGGCCATCTCTTTACGTCTTCGGATCTCAGCGTCGCACTTACCGTCCTCTGTCAGAACACATTCCAGATCGTCCATTCATCCCTCATCGTTGCTCACACGCTCGGTTCATGATATCCTCATCATCCTTCTGTTGAATCATACCTCCGTCGCTTCGAGTCTCTTCTTCATCTTTGAGAAGAACGTCCAACATTCGCTGCTGTAAAAGAGAACAGATATCACGTAACATCTAAGTACTCTTTTCTTTGTTACCAAAGAAATCCTGCTGTTTCTTAATACTCTTCCTAGCTTGTGGAATGCGGCTTTGGCCATCCCTATACGTCTTCGGATCTCAGAGTCTCACATACCGTCCTCTGTCAGAACACTTCCCAGATATTTAAATTTCCCATCTAAAACCTCCTCGTTGCTCACACGTTCGGTCCATGCTATCCTTAGCATCCTTCTGTTGCATCATACCTCCTTTGCCTCGAGTCTCTTCTTCATCTTTGAGGAGATCGTCCAATATACGTTGCCGTAAAGTAGGACAGATGTCACGTAGCAGTTTATTACTCCTTTCTTTGTTACCAAAGAAATCCTACTGTTTCGTAATACTCTGGCTAGCTTTTGGAATGCGTCTTTGGCCATCTCTTTACGTCTTCGGATCTCAGCGTCGCACTTACCGTCCTCTGTCAGAACACATTCCAGATCGTCCATTCATCCCTCATCGTTGCTCACACGCTCGGTTCATGATATCCTCATCATCCTTCTGTTGAATCATACCTCCGTCGCTTCGAGTCTCTTCTTCATCTTTGAGAAGAACGTCCAACATTCGCTGCTGTAAAGAGAACAGATATCACGTAACATCTAAGTACTCTTTTCTTTGTTACCAAAGAAATCCTGCTGTTTCTTAATACTCTTCCTAGCTTGTGGAATGCGGCTTTGGCCATCCCTATACGTCTTCGGATCTCAGAGTCTCACATACCGTCCTCTGTCAGAACACTTCCCAGATATTTAAATTTCCCATCTAAAACCTCCTCGTTGCTCACACGTTCGGTCCATGCTATCCTTAGCATCCTTCTGTTGCATCATACCTCCTTTGCCTCGAGTCTCTTCTTCATCTTTGAGGAGATCGTCCAATATACGTTGCCGTAAAGTAGGACAGATGTCACGTAGCAGTTTAGTACTCCTTTCTTTGTTACCAAAGAAATCCTACTGTTTCGTAATACTCTGGCTAGCTTTTGGAATGCGTCTTTGGCCATCTCTTTACGTCTTCGGATCTCAGCGTCGCACTTACCGTCCTCTGTCAGAACACATTCCAGATCGTCCATTCATCCCTCATCGTTGCTCACACGCTCGGTTCATGATATCCTCATCATCCTTCTGTTGAATCATACCTCCGTCGCTTCGAGTCTCTTCTTCATCTTTGAGAAGAACATCCAACATTCGCTGCTGTAAAAGAGAACAGATATCACGTAACATCTAAGTACTCTTTTCTTTGTTACTAACGAAATCCTCCTGTCTCGTAATACTCTGCCTAGCTTTTGGAATGCGTCTTTGGCCATCTCTTTACATCTTCGGATCTCACCGTCAGAACACTTCCCAGATATTTAAATTTCCACACCTACTTGATCTTAGTGTCCCCGACCTGCGAATCTCATTTCAGGCTCAACTTTTTCACTGATGACCCTGCATTCTGTCTTCTTGTAGTTTATGCTTAGTCCTTTCTTCTCGCTCTCCTTCACTAACTTCTGTATGCGTGTCCTTTTAAAAACAAATCTACTAGCTCACTCCAATGGTCGAGGTACTAGGGTTTATGGTATATTCAGCAGTAATAATAATAATAATAATAATAATAATAATATATATATATATATATATATATATATATATATATATATGTATATTTTTTTTTTTTTTTTATGTGCTTTACCTCCTCCTGTCTCTTGTAGTCTCAATAAGTTTTGTCTTTTTTTTGTTATTTCTTCCAGACCATTTTCTACCATCAACCCGCTAGGTATGTCATGCGTTGCTTTCCGTCGTCCCTCTGTCCGCCCTGTGAGTATCAGATTCTCCAAGCTCACCTTTCTCATTATGTGTTCCAGAAATTTCAGCTGCCTCTTCCTGATGTTAAGTATAAGTTTCCTTTTTGCTTGCATCCCCTCTAAAACCTTAGCGTTGCCCACATGTTCGGTCCATGGTATCCTTAGCATCCTTCAGTAGAAACATATCTCCGTTGCCTCGAGACTCTTCGTCCTCTTTCAGGAGACCGTCCAACGTTCGCTGCCGTAAAGGAGGACAGATGTCACGTAGCAGATCAGTTACCAACGAAACCCTTCTGTCTCGCAATACTCTGCCTAAATTTTTGAATGCGTTTTTGGCCATCCCAATACGTCTTCGGATCTCAGCGTCGCACTTACCGTCCTCTGTCATAACCCTTCCCAGATATTTAAATTTCCGCGCCTTCTTGATTTTAGTCTCCTCGACCTGTAAATCGCATTTGGGGCTCATCTTTTTCACTTATGACCATGCATTCTGTCTTCTTGTAGTTTATGCTTAGTCCTTTCTTCTCGCACTCCTTCACTAACTTCTGTATGCGTGTCCTATTAAAAACAAATTTACTAACTCACTCCAGTGGTAAAATGACTAGGGTTTATGATATATTCAGTAATAATAATAATAATAATAATAATAATAATAATAATAATAATAATAATGGAATTAATCCCTTACTGTATAAAGTTTCCTTAAAAGTTTAGCTCTTTTTTTTTTATGTCCCTTGTTGGGAGAAGGATATCCTTAGAGCTAGCAGATTTTAAATATTAGATAAACCCCTCTCTAAAAAAATTGGATATCATGAACTAAAGGTTTAACTATTTTCAGCCTCCAGGTGTTGTGGAAGTTAAACGAAGAAGGCATGAAATTTAAAATTATGAAATCCAGAAGGTTGCCCCAAATTTTCTTTTTGCCTATCTATCTATCTATCTATCTATCTATCTATCTATCTATCTCAGTCTGTTCATATCTATCTATCTATCTATCTATCTCAGTCTGTTCATATCTATCTATCTATCTATCTATCTATCTATCTATCTATCTATCTATCTCATTCTGGCCATATCTATCTATCTATCTATCTATCTATCTATCTATCTATCTATCTATCTATCTCAGTCTGTTCATATCTATCTATCTATCTATCTATCTATCTCAGTCTGTACATATCTATCTATCTATCTATCTATCTATCTATCTATCTCTGTATCAGTCTGTTCATATCTATCTACCTTTCTATCTCAGTCTGTTCATATCTATCTATCTATCTATCTATCTATCTATCTATCTATCTATCTATCTATCTATCTCATTCTGGTCATATCTATCTATCTATCTATCTATCTATCTATCTATCTAAGAATACGCTGAAAAGGAGTGCAGATTAAAGGAGATTTTTTAGACAGAAATTTGGATTAGTGATGGGTTCACCACTCGGTGGAGTAATGGCATGATTCTTCGTAGAATCTTTAAGAATTTGCCCAACCCTTTCAACATATTTCCGATATATTGACGATGCCTTATTAATATACTAACATGACACACCCCAACCAACATTTGTTGACAGATTAATCTGCGTTTCACCTTTTTGTAGGAGAAACCATCGTTTGATCAGGCATGCTTTATCGTTCGGCTCAAGAAACCGTCACTGTTCAGTATATTCCACATAAGGTAAGCACTCTTCCTTATTTACACCGATAGACACCATGCATACTTTGTAAAATTAAATTAGGTCATCTATCTATCTATCTATCTATCTATCTATCTATCTATCTATCTATCTATCTATCTGATTCTGTTCATATCTATCTATCTATCTATCTATCTATCTATCTATCTATCTATCTTAGTTTGTTCATTTCTATCTATCTGCCTGTTCATATCTACCTATGTATCAGTCTGTTCATATCTATCTATCTATCTATCTATCTATCTATCTATCTATCTATCTATCTATCTATCAGTCTATCTCAGTCTGTTCATATCTATCTATCTATCTATCTATCTATCTATCTATCTATCTATCTGCTTCGTAGATGAAATAAAAGATTGTAGATTCTATCCTTTTTGATCTATCAACAAGTTCTAGTTGTGTTGTGTCATGTAGGTATATTACTGGGACATTTTCAATGTATCAGTAAGAAAAATATGAACAGACTGAGATAAAGGCGTCTATTTTAAATAAGGGTATCCGTTAAATACTGACATTTGAAGTAAGAGAAATGTTATATTAAAAATAAATCCACGAATTCTTTAGAAATGACTTTGTTTAAGTTTCGTAGACGAAACCGACCAAATATGGGATTTCGAGTAAAAATATCTGAATGAATTTGCTTGGTTAGTGAGTTTGATTATCACTAGGTACCGTTTTTTTTCCAACAAAACTAAACTCTGTGAATATCTATATCTTTAAATCAATGTGCGAATATCTTCTGTAGAATATGTATATGTGCGCATGCGTACATGAATGCCAAATGGAAGAAAATAAAAGAAAGAAAAAAAGAAAGAAAAAGGAATAAGTACGAAATATTTGACAAAAATTAATAAAGAAAAAGTAATTTATGATTTTCTCTTAATTCTTGCCTTTGTCACCTGGCGTCGCTGCTGCCGAAATCATTTTTGTCATTTTCTCAATCTTTTGACGAGATGAAACATTTTTGAGGTGAACTCCTTGTTACGAACCGTTTTGTCTTTCTGTTGGCGTAGCAGATGACAGAATCTGTCCTCATAATATGTTACCATTCAGTGTTGGTGCAGTTGGTGAGATAAGACAGTGCTTGCTGCTTGTTAAAGTGACGCCATGTTGCTGGAATGGAGAAGGAGGTATGAAAGAAAAGGAAGAAAAAAGAGGTTAAAAGCACGATAAAAGGAATAAGGTAAAAGGAATGAAGTAAAAGGAACGAGGGAAGAGGAATGAGGTAAGAGGAACGAGGTAAAAAGCAAACACGTCCAGAGAAAGAGGTGAGGTTTAGAAGAAGAATAAACAACAAAGAAATCAATACAAAAGCAAAACAAAAGGAAGAAAAAGGAGTGAGAAAGAAAAAAAGAAATGGGACAATAAAAGAAAAGAGGAGAAAAGGAAAGAAAAAAAGAAAGAAAAGAGTAGCATGAAGAAAGATAAAAATAATGAGAAAAAAGAAAAGAAAAACGAGTTTGGAAAAAAAAAAGAGAAAACGAACCAAAAAGAGAACTGACTGAAAGAAGAAAGATAGAAGAAAGAAAGGAGAGATAAACGGATCGATGGAATATTGAAAGGGAGAAAACATCGAAAGGAGAATGAGAGAAGGGAAAAGAAAAAAAGTGAGACTAAAAAGAGAAGAAACGTCGTAGAAAGAAAAAAGCACTGAAAAGTCGAAAGAACAACAAAAAAAAAAAAAAAAAAAAAAAAAAAAAAAAAAAAACGAAAAAGACCAAATGTAAAAACGTTGGAAGAAGAATGAATAAGAAAAAAAAACCCTCAAAAGTTGAAGAATGAATGAGGAAAAAATGTGCCGAAAGAAAGACGTTAAAATAGAAATATGTTGGAATAAGAATAAGACAAAAACATCGAAAGAATGAAAGTGTGGAAAAAGAAAAAAAATAGAACGTAAAAGAGAAAAATGTCAGAAAAATATGAAAAAAAAAAAACATAGAAAGAATGAAAGTGAGAAAAAAGATAAAGAAGAACGAAAAAGAGAAATATTCCGAATTAAGAATAAAAAAATATATATATCAAATGAATGAGAGGAAAAAGTAAAAAAAAAAAAACGAAAAAGAGAAAAAAGTCGGAGAAAGAAACGTCGAAAGAATGAAAGTGAGACAAAGGTAAAAACAAGAACAAAAAAGAGAGATATGACGGAAGAAGAAGAAGAAGAAGAAGAAGAAGAAGAAGAAGAAGAAGAAGAAGAAGAAGAAGAAGAAAAATCATCGAAGGAATGAAAGCGTGGAAAAAGAAAAAAGTACGAAAAATCGAAATATGTCGAAATAAGAATAAGAAAAATACATTGAATATAAGCAAAAGTCATTGAATGAATGTAAATGAAAGTAAAAACATAAAGAAAAAGTGAAATATTTTGGAATAAGAATATGAAAAAAAAATATCTATTGAAAGTGAGGAAAAAGCAAAAAAAAAAACAAAAAAAAACGAAAAAATAAATATATTGGTATAAGAATGAAGGAAAATATATGGAATGAATGAAAGGAAAAAGTAAAATCAAGAACGAAAAAGTGAAATATTTCGGAATAAGAATATGAAAAAATTATCTACTGAATGAAACTGAATAAGAAGCAGAAGTAAATAAATAAAACACTAAAAAGAGAAATATTTCGGAATAAGAAAAAGAAAAACATTGAATGAATGAAAGTGAAAAAATTAAAAACGAGAACGATAAATCAGAATTAAGTTGGAATAAGAATAATAAAAAAAATCAAAAAATGAAAATGAGGAAAACGTAAAAGCAAGAAAGAAAAAGTGAAATACTTTGACAAGAAGAATAAAAGAGAAAAAAAAAATCGAATGATTGAAAGTGAGAGAAAAAGTAAAAAAAAAATAACGGAAAAGAGAAATATGTCTAAATAAGTATAAGGAAAAACAATGGAAAAATGAAAGTATGGAAAAAGTAAAAAAAAAAAAAAGAACGAAAAAGAGAAATATGACGAAATAAGAAAAAGAAAACATCGAACGAATAAAAGTGAAGGAAAAAGTAAAAACAAGAACGAAAAACAGAAATATGTCGGAATAAGAATAGGAAGAAACATTGAAAGAATGTAAGTGAAGGAAAAGAAAAAAACAGAAAAACATGAAATGAATGAAAGTGAAGAAAAAGAAAAAACAGAAAAACATGGAATGAATGAAAGTGAAGAAAAAGAAAAAAACATAAAAACATCGAAAGAATGAAGTGAAGAAAAAGAAAAAATAGAAAAAGCAAAATGTCAGCAATAAGAATAAGAAAAAACATCGAAAGAAATAAAGGGAAGAAAAAGAAAAAAAAAACAGAAAAACATGGAATGAATGAAAGTGAAGAAAAAGAAAAAAACAGAAAAACATGGAATGAATGAAAGTGAAGAAAAAGAAAAACAAGAAAAAGCGAAATATCAAAAAATGAAAATGAGGAAAACGTAAAAGAAAGAACGAAAAACTGAAATATGTTGGTAAGAAGAATAAGAAAAAAAAAACAGCGAATGAATTAAAGTGAGGGAAAAAGTAAAAACAAGAACGAACAACAGAAATATGTCTAAATAAGTATAAGGAAAAAAACAATGGAAAAATGAAAGTATGGAAAAAGTTAAAAAAAAAAAAAAACCACGAAAAAGACAAATATACCGAAATAAGAAAAAGAAAAAAAATCGAATGAATGAAATTGGTAAAAAATTAAACAACGAAAAAGTGAAATATGAAGGAAATAAGAATAAAAAAAACAACAACAAAAAAAAAAAAACAACTGACAGAAATGCCGCATGCTCATGGTGTTGTCAGACGGTGCATTGTCGCGGTGAAGCAGACAATGATTTTTCCTGTCACAAAAACATATGAAAAAAAATGCAATGGTTGCAGAAAACTAACATTAGAGTTATATACTGTCAAGATATCATGTTAGATGATAACAGAATCCGCTTATCCCTGTTTTGCCCAGAGCTCACACACCACACCCAAACCTTTTACTCTTTAGGGTGGCCTCGCAATTTTCCTTCTTTTTATAACAAATAATAAGGAAAGCATGACTAAAAGCGTGTAAGAGAACGACTAAGGTCAACGCATTTCTTCTTCTTCTTCTTCTTCTTCTTCTTCTTCTTCTTCTTCTTCTTCTTCTTTATATAGGTATATATATTTATAAATGTAAAAGACAATAAAAGAACTACAATATTAGCCGACGCGTTTCGCCCAATGTGGACTTTATCAAGTCAAAAACGAAATAACTTTATTAAAACAAAGTAACTAATAATAACAAAACAAAATGTCCTTAGCAACTGGAAGAATTTAAAAAACGCTATTCTATTCATATTGTCAAATGAAAATTACGTCAACTACTGTCACGTATGAAAAATATTGTTTTTATTGTTGTGTTGACGAATTCAACCATTTTCTTTTGATTTCTTGATACTGTTGTGTTAACTCTGAGAAATTTTTCACACATATATATATATATATATATATATATATATATATATTATCAAATCCATTTGATAATATATATAGGACTGGGTGTGGTGTGTGACCTCTGGGCAAAAGGGATATAGAAACAATGGCAAGATAAACTGCTTCATGGCCAAAACTCTGCCCGTACCAAACAAGCTGATGTAGAAAAGCCTCGTATCCATCAGTGGCTACGTAGTGCAGGGTTAAAAGCTGAAACCAAAGGTTTTATCCTTGCTTCTCAGGACCAATGTTTGTTAACTAGAAATTATCAAGCACACATACTAAAATACAGTGTTAGCCCAAAATGCAGGTTCTGTGATAATTACCCAGAAACAATCGATCATCTTGTATCAGGTTGCACGATATTGGCACCCACTGAATATAAAACCCGGCATGACAGAGTGGAGCAATATCGGCACTGGAAGATCTGCAACTTCTACGGGAAGGAAACTGAAAGAAACTGGTATGAACAATACCCAGACCCGATTACGGAGATAGGGCCTGTTACTATTTTATGGGACTACACAATACACACTGACAGAACAATTAAAGCTAACTGTCCAGACATTGTTATTAGAGACCGCAAACAAAAAAGTGCCCCCTTCTTGATATGGCAATCCCTGAAGGCTGCCACGTATCTTTGAAGTTCTTCAAAAGGTTATCAAAATACAAAGACCTAAAAATCGAAATCTCAAAATAGTGGCACATGGGAACATCAACAATCCTTGTTGTAGTTAGATCCCTCGTGGGTGGGGAGTTGGAAAAGATTCCAGTAGACCTATTAAAGTGATTCCTGGAAGCCCATGTCTTAAAGAAATACAAAAAATTGTTCTCACGAGTACAGCCCACACCTTACAAAGGGCTTTATCTATGTAAAATATGTTTGTTTTTTTTTTTTAATTGGTCAGTGGAAAATGTCATGAAG